CACAGCAAAATACAGTGACCTAGCAGAATATTGTGGACACTTTTTAAAATATAATAACACAAATACCAATAAAAAAGTATGCTTTATTATTCTAAGCTAATAGATTTATCAAATCATAATATATATTGTCTTAAAATTCAAGTGATTTAAATCACTGGCTCAAAAAAATTAAAAAGACGTAAAATTTAAAATTTATTGTTAAACCGAAACTCATATCACCCAAACTGAGACGCGTTCCATTTCAGCTGATACTCTGTTCATGTATATTTGTATCACAAAACGTGTAATATGCTAATTCGTCTAATTCGTCAATGACACATGTCAAACACTATGGGAAATGAGAAAGACTTAACCGCCGAACAAAAGGGAGCTATTGTAAGAATGACTCGTACCGCACCATTGTAGCTAACGTAGGCTGTAGAAAGTCTACGGACGGGACGACCTTCGCTTTTACTGTTTCTGATCGTTCTGTACTCAAGACCCTTGTTATTAGTGAAAATCGCCATCTATACCTCTCCAATCACCACGACTCTTGCTGCTCAAACAAAACGTAATGTATCAAGAAATACTGTTCGCCATGAGCTACATAAAGAAAATCTATGGTCCCGTATTGCACGTCCAAAGCCACTCATTTCCACTGTTAATGCTGAGAGGCGACTTGCCTGGTGTCTTGCACGTAAAGACTGGACAGCTCGACATTTTCGTCGTGTTTCGTGGTCAGATGAATCAACATTTTGCCTCTTTCAACAATCATCTTGTCGGGTCTGGCGTGAGCCGCATGAAGAATGGGACATTGAATGTGTGAGGAGTACTGTCAAGCATAATCCTAGTCAGATGCACTGGGGCTGTTTCTCTTGGTATGGAACTGGCCCTCTCGTTGCGCTTAATGGCTCTGCTACTGGTACATGTAAGTCTCACATTGAGATTCTTAGATCTACCCAAGAAATGTGGATCGCGGTCAGCCTAAATTTTAAGACAATGTACATTATGATTTGGTAAATCTATTAGCTTAGAAAAATAAAGCATACTTTTTTGTTATTATATTTTAAAAAATTCTGCTAGGCCACTGTACGATAGGTTATATGATTTA